GGGCAGGGGGAGCTGGGGGGGCTCCCTCCCCCCTGTGGGGCTGGTGTCCCTGGGAAGGGCCTGAGTCTAGGACCTGGAGGAAGCGCTGGGGCTGGGAGCTGCCAAGGGGGTCATGTGACGCTCCTGCTTCGCTTCTCCCGCAGCTGCTGGGAGCTGTGACCATGGGGCCCGGGGGCCGCGTCCTGCTGCTGGCCGCGGCGCTCCTGCCGCTGGAGGTGAGACGAGCCGGGCAGAGCCGAGCCGGGCCGGGCCGGGCAGAGAGCCCGGGGGGGGGCTGGATCTGCTTTGACAGAGCAGCTACAAGTCCTGAGACCCGGGTCTGGGTCTGTCCCCCCCCCATCTCACCCCTGGTGGGGCTCCAGGACTCGGAGCGCCCTGCCACCCCCCCCCCGCCACTCCCGGGCCCCCAACCCGGGCCGCAGCCCTGGGGGGCGTGACCCTGCCCAGGGCCGGGTAAAGCCCAGGGCCATCGCGCTGGTCTGGCATGTGGCTGCGTCCAACAACCATCCAAACCTGCCCGGCTCCAGCAGCCCCCCCGCCTGTCCCCCCCAGCCATGTCCCCCCCAGCCATGGGGCAGCAGGAGGCGTCTGCACCGTCCCTTCGATCCCCCACCCAGGGCGCCCCCCACGGTAACGCCAGCACCCCGGGGAGCGCGGCCGGCTGGGCCTCGTGTGCTCACAGCTCCCGGGGGGCCAGGCCTGCGCCGGCGCCCGCTCCTTCCAGGTGGATTACGCCCACGACTGCTTCCGCAAGGACGGCGCCCCCTTCCGCTACGTCTCGGGCAGCATCCACTACGCCCGCGTCCCGCGCCCCGCCTGGCACGACCGCCTCCGGAAGATGTACATGAGCGGCCTCAACGCCGTGCAGGTGTAGGTGACCCACGGGCTCCGGCCGGGCTCCCACGGGGAGGGCTGCCCCCAGGGCCGCAGGGCATCACTCACACGGTCTCTCCAGGTCACGGCTCTCGCCCTGGGGTCCCCGGTTCCTGCCCCCAAACCAGAGTCTCGTGCGGGGCCAGTGTGAGCTCCGGTCCCTGAGCCTGGGACTCTAATCCCAGCCCTGACCTGCAGCGTCCGGCGGTGACAGCAGCTCTGCGCTGGCTGTTGTGTTGGCCAGGCCCCACCAGCTGGGCCGGGGCTCACAGGGGACACGTGTCCCCCCCAGTGCGGCCAGTCGGCCCTCTGGGATCCGGAGAGTTAATGCACCGATAACCGGGTCAGGGCCCTCAGTCCTGCGCCACGCCGGGACCCGCATGTGTCCTTGGGGATCTCCCTGCTGTGCTGTGGTGCTCGGTCTTCGGCCACGTCCCGGGCCCCCCGAGGGCGAACAGACCCCCAGAGGCTGTGCCCCCCCCCAGGGCGTGCAGACCCCAGCGGCTGCTCCCCTCACTGCTCCTGACTCTCTTCCCCAGCTACGTCCCCTGGAACTACCACGAGCCGCTGCCCGGGGTCTATGACTTCTCTGGGGACCGAGACCTGGGACACTTCCTGAACCTGACGGCAGAGCTGGGCCTCCTGGTGATCCTGCGGCCCGGGCCCTACATCTGCGCCGAGTGGGAGATGGTGAGGGCTGGGCCCGGGCTGCTCTGTCCTGAGTCTGACCCCAGCCCCTGTCTGTCTGGCCCAGGCCCCCCACCTCTGCCCCTCACTCCCGACCCACAGCCCCTGCTAGCCCGGCCCTGGGGTCCCCCCAGCTCTGCCAGTTCCCCTCACTCCCGACCCGCAGCCCCTGCTAGCCCGGCCCTGGGCTCCCCCCGTCCCCAGCTCTGCCGGTGCCCCTCACTCCCGACCCGCAGCCCCTGCTAGCCTGGCCCTGCCCCCCACCCAGCTCTGCCGGTTCCCCTCACTCCCGACCCGCAGCCCCTGTTAGCCAGGCCCTGGGGTCCCCCCAGCTCTGCCGGGGCCCCTCAC